AAAATTAATATAATTTCCAAGATATCCAATTAGATCCATATAGGTATTGCAAATTTCAAAAGGAATATGGATTTTCAGGACTTTTGAAATAGTTTCAATACGATTACAAACGATTTTTTACAAAAATCCAAGATGGCGGCCTTGTGGTCACGTGACCTGGTTTCCATGGTAACAGATATGCGGTAATTGCTTGCCTTGAAGAGTTACTACTACGAGCCAAATTTGGGAAAGATTCATAGTAAACTGTCAAAGATATGAATAAATAACTGATTTTCCGTCACTTCCTCAAAAGAGCCATGCCTTAATGGTGCTGAGCGGTCTAAATCAAATAAGAATCTATATGTCCCTCCAGTAAACCTGAATTATGGGAAGTTTGGTGTTAAATATGCAGCAGTCACAAGCTGGAATGATATACCACTTCATATAAAAACCAGTACCTCACATAAAGTTTTTAAAAATAAGCTTAAAAAACATTTGTTGCTTTAAAATTTTGATTCTATTTAGGTTTTGCTTCAATGTAACTTTATTTCCTACTTTAATTTGGTTCAAACTTCACTTTAGTATAACTTTTTATGTGTATTGAATCTATTTTACTTTGCTACTTTCCCCCTTGTAAGTTCTTTTTTGAAAGTATTATATAGTTTCAAGGTGCAGAACTATTTTCTTAACCCTTTTGGGTTGTTTTTTTCTGCTCCTCCCAGTTAAATTTCTTAATAGTGATGTAAAGTATAAAATTCTCATTCTGGGAAATAAAAAAAACCTTGAACCTTGAAGTAGGAAAGGTCTCCGTTTACAAATATCTCCATGCTGGAGAGCGTTTTCAATTGTATGCGTTTTGGATGAAAACACTCGGCGTTTTCGAGCCCTTTACTGTTGATGCAAGGGCAAAACGCATCGCAAAGTATGTGCTTTTAAACCTAAAAGCTTGACGAGATCAACCAAGATGACTGCTGTTTCATTGCGTTATTCATACCTCAAGAGATTTTGAGTCACATGGCTGCACTCAATCTATTAGTACGCCTTACAAAAAGGAAACAAAACGTTTTATAGTATTTTAAACGAGTGGTGTTTTTTTTTTACGTTTTTAGACTATAAAATACCTCTTCAGTGCTCAAGCTTGTTTGGTTGTTTTGTATGCTGGAAAGATTTTCCAATCCTATAAGGATAAATGCTTCTTTTAGTTTTTTTCGCTGCCATTATATTGTAAGCGTCAAAGTAATTGTTACGATTTCAAAAGCAAGGACCGCTCTTGAATCTTCAAGAAATTTGAAGAAGGAAAAAGAAATGTGAAAGAGTACGTGGAGCCTTGCCTTGGTTTCCAACAACCACAGCGAGCAACAAAGCTACTGCAAAAATCTTCATCCTTCTTTTACTCTTCTGAACGGTAATGGCTCAGTGTTATTAAGTTCCTTTATCGGCGATTTCCTAGAAATTGTTGCATAAATGTCAGCCATTTGGGTAAGCATCAGAACAGGTATCACTCAATAAGGTGTTAAAATCTTGTTTTGGAGAAACATTAATTAGTATACTTATTTCGCAGACCTTAATTCAGTAAATTTAGGTATTCACTTATTTCAAAACACGTTGTGGTTGGAAATCTGAAATCTAAACTAAATCTAAGTCGCAAGCTGTAATACATTCACAGCCGAACAACGAAGTCTCCTTTTTACATTGGAATATGACGATTTTGTATTTTAGCCTAAAATTAAACGTAAAAGCACAAAAATTCCTTTAAGTCTCACATCTCCTATTAACTTTACCTTGAATGTTTTAGAAGACGTTTCGGAACTGATAATCGAGCATGAGTCGACACACATTTATGGTTTAACTAAACAAATCTTGTACGATTACGTTGTTGCGTAAATATGTGGCAAAAAAAATCCAGATTATTCTGTCTTTGAGTAATAATGCAATTAAATCATTCGAATTACCAACGTCAAAAATACCCGTTATCACCCGTTAGCACACGTTATCCCAAATGTTCTCTTGCTTAGCTGACCTCACTCGTGAAACATTTTCTTTAGCACTTGAAGATCAACTTATATCTTCGCCTCTAGCCTCTAATCAGCCCCTCCCCCCATCTTAATAATCCCTCAGTCCAATTAAAGCACTGATAAAGAATAAGATAAAATTATAGTTTTCTAATTAACTGTCGCATGTGATTGATCAGAACACGATGTTTAACACTCCAGACACATTTTAGGTGTCCACGGTTTTCTGTTGAAACTCGGTTACTTTTGCTCCTAGCCGACCCATTTACTACCATTATCGCTGCAGTGTAACTGTCAATCAGATAACAAAAATATACAAACAAACAAACAACATATCTTGAGGGAAATTTTTAATCCTGTAACACCCTCTAAAACTTAAAGTCAGTCTAAAACCTCCCTCAATATATATATATTTTTTTTTTTGATTGACGGCCGTCAAAATTGCTAGTCGGCAAACGGGACATCTAGCTTTGCGGGTCGCACTTCAACGATAATCCTTTCTTTAAATCATTTTTTACTCCGACGAAGGACTAGCGTCCGAAACGTCAGTAAGATTTTTCATCTTTTCACGGCGTATAATGTACCCTTTTATCATTACTCTTTCATTAGAAACACCGACGCAGCTCACACTAGTTTTTAGCTAGTTATCTCTTCAATGATAATAGTAGAGGGTACGAATGGAGTTTGTAACTAGTTAACTGACTATTGACCAAAAAATAGTAGTTAACTGATAAATAACCTCAAATTATATTGCGAGCAGTTAATAGTTAACTTATATTTCATTATTTTGATTGATATTATGCTATTATACTTTTTTCTATGTGGTTCTCCACATTTAACTTTTAAGCAAAATCAAAAATTGTTCTTGAGTGTCCAACAATATTTGGTAGACACCAAAAGATTTAGACAGAGTAAAGAACGCTTAATTGATTTTCCTAAAACTCCAGAAACCTTGTAACTACTGTTAACTGTGTAATCTCCCACGATGAGCCTAGCTCTTGGAGAGAACCAGAGAGTAAATATGTTTAAATAAAAAAATTAAAACTATTATGCTAGACGATTACGAATCTTGGCGCGCAATGCATTGTTCGTCACAACAAAAATTTCTAAATATTTTCTATTATGTCAATAAATTCACAGCCGAACAATGTAGTTTCCTTTTTACATTGGAATATGACGATTAGAGTGCAAACAATATAACTGTGAAACTTTAGTAATACTAAATAGCACAATTTCATGCAAATTCCATTGTTTTCTATTGTTTAATTAGCACTATTTTGTACTATTTAGCAATTAGTGTTTCACGGATTAATTGTTTGCACTCTATTTGTATTTTAGCCTAAAATTAAACGTAAAAGCACAAAAATTCTCACATCTCCTATTAACTTTACCTTGAATGTTTTAACAAATAAATCTAAACAAATCTTGTGCGATTACGTTGGTCCGTAAATATGTGGCAAAAAAATCCAGATTATTTTGTCTTTGAGTAATAATGCAAAAATCATTCGAATTACCAACGTCAAAAATACCCGTTATCACGCGTTATCCAAATTGGTGGACAATTTTTAAGCATTTCTTCGTTATAAAATCTTCAGTTTTGATTCATATTTCCGACATTTTAAAGCTCTAAACGGCGAAAAAAAGAAAGAACTAGGAATAGGACTAGAGAATAGGACTTCAAATTTCGACTAAGCCTCCATGGGTATTGAAGTGCAGCACCGCACGGACCAAAATTCGTATTATTTAATTCGCTTAATAAGTCATAGAAAAGAAATGACACAAATAGAGGTTGTCGTTGTCGCATAAATCATTTTTATATTTGTTTGCAATAAGTATTCAAAAGTCATACAGAATTAATTATAATAGAAGGAATGGTATTATATATTATTTGTTTCTTTAAGTAACAATTTTCAGTCAAACCAGCTCATGCATTCCTATCAAGGTTCAAAGATTCAGTTCATTTTTGGAAGTTTGATTTCCATCTTGCTTTGAAGCTTGCATCAATGAAACGAACGTTATAAATTTCAATCCCAGCCTTTGTCAAAACATCAAAGTGTTCATTTGTGACTTTTTGAACAAAACAACAGAAACAGAAAGAGCACCCCAATAAGTAAAAGGGCAGCATTTCAGCTCATAATGTTCACTRTAGGAGAAATGGCATTAAATATAAAGTCGAACATTTTATAAGAATTTGTTTGAGAAAAGTGTTGGCTGGTAAGTTATTTTAAAGTAAAACATTCACTTTTCTACATGTATTTAATGCCATTTATCCTTTTTCGCTGACACTCCCTACTAATGTCTAAGTGCCCTTTTCATTTCTGTTGTTTATTTTGACAGAACTGATCGTTTTAAGGGAGGTATAGGATGTTAGTGCAAGTCGTCTTTTCCTCAAGAACCCTTCATGAACCTTGATCACACAACACCATGTTTATTCCCATGAGAATAAAAGCCTTTGTAATTAACCCCATGTAACCTCGACCTGAAACGCTTGAATGAGGCTACTACGGAAGAAATCTATTTTTTAAGTAAACATCTCATGGCTGGTGGAAAAACTCCATTCTAATGGGCAGTGTTTGCCTGTCTTTGTAGGCTGGTAATGAGATTGATGAGATTCATTCAGCTGATTGATACCAAGCAATAGAATACTCTCTGGTTGATAGCACATGACGGGCAGTGTTTACCTGTCATTTAGGCTGGTAATGAGATTGATGACATTCATTCAGCTGATTGATACCAAGATATAGAATACTCTCTGGTTGAATAACACATGACGGGCATTGTTTGCATGTCATTGTAGGCTGGTAAWGAGATTGATGAGATTCATTCAGCTGATTGATACCAAGCAATAGAATACTCTCTGGTTGATAGCACATGACGTGCAGTGTTTTCCTGTCATTGTAGGCTGTTAATGAGATTCATTAGCTGGTTGATACCAAGCGATAGAATTAACAAGATATTGCCCCTCCTTGTTCAATTGAGCCATTATTGTTTTGTTATTCCCATCCATGATACGTCATGTACCCGACATTCACAATAAACCAATCAGAGACCACTATTTATGATGACACCATCTTCCAAATGACATCATTTCCTAACTTAGTTTTGTGTTTACTTTATGGGTATAGTCGATGGTTATTAATAAATTTTTGATGTCATTTATGGTAGGAAATTAGGTAGACATTGGAAAAGCCATATATAGATCTAGGTTTTTGCGCATGCACCCCGCACATGCGTAGTAAAAACCAAGCTGCATCTTCTATTATGTAAAGCCAGTAATGCTCATGTTAAATAAAGTCACGCGCGACATTAGAAAACAGGTGTATACTGTGCGTGACACCATTGCACGTGACTTTTTACACAATTAGGAAGCCTGCATCGCGCATGCCCAGACGATATCACGTGACTTTAATATAATTTAAGCGGTGCAAACTGCGCATGTCAGGTCCCTGTCCTGTTTGTACCGAGGACACGGTAGTGTCCCGCATTTTCCTCGTACGCCAGTCAGTAGAGATTCTCTGCGAGTTCTTTCGTTTCCGGTTTGTTTAGCCACACCCGCATCGGCATCGACACAAATGTACTCCGCTCTGCTGCTGTTGTTACTCGACGACATGAGATATCCATGGTACTCTCTGGTCCACGCGTTGCTAGGGCACACAAAACGTGCAGGCACCATTATTAATGAGGGTCTTGATAAGGTCCTGCATACAGCACAAGGGACCCCATGGTAATTCATGTCAGTTGGACGTCCTGGTATTCTCAGAAATATATCATCTACTTGTCCGTATTCTACCCCGTATAGATGGGCCCTTAACTTCAAACGGTTTGAAGCAAAGGCGTAGAATGGTTGATGTGGCATGCAAAGATAGTTGGATCCACTGCCTTCTTCCCTTGTTGAGGGACCAGCCATTTGTCCTGAAATATAAAATACTTAGACTATTCAATGATTGAAGTTTTTGAGTTCATTATTTTATTGAAATATCGTTCTGCTTTCCTGAAATTTATCAAGGGATTATCGAATAGAACCGTTGCATGTGACGTCAAAGCAGCCCAATTTGGAAGACAAAACAAAAGATCTATAATTTCAATCTCCTGAGAATTGGAAACCTATTGTTATGTCTTCCAAATTAAGTTGCACTCCGACGTGCTTCAAAGGAACTATTGGGAATCAAGAGCGGCGTAGGGTTCTTGCACTAACATCTGAAGTCTCAGGTTTGATTTCTGGACTCGGCATCACATGTGAGTAAAGTTTGTTAGATCTTACCCCCCGTCCCTAATTCAACGGTTTTTTTTTCTTCAGTAGTTCTTCTTGTTTCCTCCCTCTACAAAATGTAACTTCCAAGAGCGAAATGCCCATATTTATTAGGATTTCTACGTAACGCGTGACGACAAAATTTAGTGGGGGATTTGTGATCATATGAAATAAGCCGCGTGATGCGTGATCACATATCGCGACCTTGTGTGATGCGTGACATGTCAAAAAAGCATTTCCGTGACGCGTGATTTCGTTTAAAAATTCAGCGAGAAGTGTGATGACATCCCC